GCAGGCAGGCGGGGAGGAATGACGGGAGGCGAAAGACTCCACCATTGGGCTGATGGATGCTAGTTCTTTTTGACGGGTTCCTCGTCTGAGGAATCATCACTCTCGTCAGAGGCGAAGGCGTTGGCAGGGAGCGAGTAAATTTGGAGGCTTGGCTGTAGGAAAAGAAAGAAGAGGGAGAAGAGATTAACCGCTGATGTTACAGGCCAGTGAAAGCTAATAGCAGCAAGCAAGAATCGGTACGTGTTTAGGAGGTATAGGCAGCGACCAATCTCCTGGCTTGTTAACCAATGTTCTCACTTGCGTTTCCGATTGGGATAAATTACTTGGGTGGGGTTATAATATTGATATTAGGTTGCAGCATAATCCCAAAATATTTCAGAAAGCCGGCTTTCGAATCTACTTTTCAAGTCCACAAAAAACACACTAAAAATTGCTATATATGCAGTTTGCATTTTTTTCTACTGATTTTCAGTGCCCTTATACAATCGAACATATTGCACTAGATAACGAATGCACAAATATTCTTGCCTGTACTTATTTGGCACCAAATCACACTTTCCTCAAATTTCATACTCAAAGAAAGGACAGATTTTAGTTTCAAGTCCGATGTGTTGTTGCATTTGCGTTGGCGGAGTTTTCAGTTTGCAAACCGGATGTGGATTATGTTCTTTACCTCATGAGGGTCAGTAATAAACATACAGATTGGAACCCCTTGGATTATACAATTTAAAGACGGGATTTGCTACCAAATGACCACTGTGGCGACTCCTTTGTTCACCGCCCACTGCCCTCAGGGTTATGTAAGTTTACTGACTTCACAATCCTACAAAAGCAGCTGATACCACTGACTCACGCAGGACTAGACGCAGTCAACAGCAGCCCTGGCTTTGCCGGTGGCCGCCTAATGTAGCAATCAGTTCTGTGCACAATAAATCTTTCCCACATGTGCCTTCTGTTGTAACGGTTGCCAAGGCCGAGGTGTCACCGTCTAATTATGCCTCGTGTGAGTCCCCCAAGAAAGAACACGACAAGAAGAGGGCAAAAGCAGATGTCCCTGAGTGTAAAAGGTACAACATATTTAGGGCAACAAACGAGTGTAAGCTAGGTCCATCGAGCCAATCAGCTTCTCTTCTGGCTTGGCTAGTGGCACGATTGGCTGGTGACTCGACGGCTGACTGTAGCTTGAATTTTAAATTATTGATTGATTGACGGCCAGTATGTGTTCGCTACGTGTAGGCCGATCGATAGCCTGCTGTGAGCGCGGTTGCTTGCTGTATGCTATCTGCCTATTAGGCATCTAGCAACTTCTGTCCTTTATCGACAACTGGCGATTTGGCCGGACGACCGCAATGACCTGAGTGTACCCATAACTTAGAAGCTACACTAAGTTTTCTATACAACGTATTTTCATTTATAAAAGGAGGCGAAAATCGATGGGAAAAATGTTTAGTGTGGTGTTTGCATGCGGCTAAAAAAGTGTACATTCAAAAGCCAGCATTTCGACGAGTCTGAACTATATTTGTATTATGTTGCAAGCTAATTAATATCACAACCCCTCAGTCAAGTAATCTCTTCTAATCGGAAACGCATTTCAGAATTATTTTTAAACATTTCCCTAGATCGACCACTGTGACATAAGTGAAAAATTGTGTACTGAAAATCAAAAACGCCAGCCCATCTCTCTCTCTTACCTTGTTCGGGTCCTTCATCATCAGATATTGGCCGGGCTCACACTTCATGAAGTAGTCAATGATGCACCGAAGGATGCCCCACGAGTTGTCAATGTTGAGATTAATCTGCTGGGCGAAATCTGCCGGACGGAAGTCCTGAACCCCGAGGATCACGTGATGGGAGGTGTCCTTGGGGTTAACCCGTGACACAAAGCTAAAGAAAATGTGGGAGGAAGAAAGGGTTATCGGGAGGAAGTGACGCTGGCAGGAACAATCCTGTCAAGCACAGATGAAACTAGAGTCCACACTTTGGGGCCGGGTGTGGGCTCAACAAGGTGGTGGATGACATAAGTGAAGATGAAAGTGCCCGGTCTTGATGCTAAAGCCAAAATTTTACCCACCGGCGCCCCCATCAGAGAACGCCCGCAGGGATGTGCAGCCCTTTCTATCAAAAGGGCATAGAGTGGCTAAGTCGGTATAATCTTACTGCTGGTATGAGAACTCGATAAAATCTCCAATTGTGCGGGAAATATAGGGCGTCCTATCGAAATATAATGGCCTAAAAGCAGCAAAGGCAGTCAATACGGCGCGGTAATGGGGGCCTATGGGTACATTGGATGCCAGGCAGGTTCCAATGACATCAACCAGTTTCACTCCTCCCACAAGCAGCATAACTAATTGTAGAAACAGATAAGGCGACCGCAGTAAAACGGAGTTTTTTCTATCTGAGATGACGAGATCGAGCGCAGTCGCGCTCTCCGATGAGGTCCAGCATGTGGGCGTATTCGATTTGCGCTAAAGCTACCGCACACTGTCTTCCCTCATCCACCTGT